TCCTCCCGCGACACCTTTCGCGACATCCCTGGCGACGACGACGACGTGGTCGAAGTTACCACCACAGCCGAAACCAACCTCACGGGCCTTCGCATCCTCGGCCTCGCTGTCGCCGTACGGAGTAACCAGCAGCTGGTCGAGCCCACCACCGTCCGCCAGGCTCTCAACGGGCCCGATGCCGAGAAGTGGAGAGCCGCCATGGCCGCGGAAGTCGCTGCACTCCAACGCCGCGGCACCTGGAAGTTGGTACCACGCCGCCACGCAAAGGGGAGAAAAATCCTTACAGGGAAGTGGGTCTTCCGCATCAAGACTCTCGCGGACGGAACGGTCGAAAAAATCAAAGCACGCTGGGTGGTTCGCGGATTCGAGCAGACGCAATTTGTGGACTACAACCAGACATTCGCACCTGTCGGTCGTCATACCTCAGTGCGCATCCTTCTCTGTATCGCCGCCGTGAAACATCGCCCACTCCGTAAAATCGACGTCTCCAACGCATTCCTCTACGCGATCGTCGACGCCATCATCTACGTCGAACAGCCGCACGCATTCGAGGAAGAAGGCGACGCCATCTGTCTCCTTCAAAAATCCCTGTACGGGATCAAGCAGGCACCACGCCTGTGGCAGCAGCATCTTCACGGCATCCTCATCAAGCTCGGTTTCCAGCAACTTCCCCACGACCAAGGGATGTACCGTCTCGAATCCCGCGGCCACTTCATCCTGCTCGTCGCCTACGTCGACGATCTTCTCTACACCGGAGACGACACAGACCTACTCGATCGCTTCGAACGCGAAATTCAGGAGAAGCTCGAGGTCACGATCGACCATGAGGTCACACAATTCCTCGGCCTCAACGTCACTCAAACCGCGGATACAATCCATCTCTCTGCCGCAAAGTACGCCGAGACCCTTGCTAAGAAGTTTGGGATAGCTCCCGTCGGCGTCACCACCCCATTCCGCACTCCTCCGCCTAACCACGAGCCCGACACTACTCCGCTCTCACCGGCTGATCTCCGTCTCTACCAACAGCAGCTCGGATGTTTACTATTCGCCGCCGTCACATGCCGCCCGGACTTATCTTACATCGCCAGCCAGCTCGCCCAGTACCTGCGACGACCTGAAGGGGAGAACCTAGCAGACCTGCGCCGCGCCTTACAGTACTTCATCTCTACGCCTGATGTCGGTCTCACCTACAAGGCCAACTTAACAGCGCCACTACAACTCACCGGCTATGTGGACGCTGACCATGCTGGGGACGCAGACAACAGGAGGTCCCGCACAGGCTTCATTTTCAAGCTCGAGCCTGCAGGAACCATCTCCTGGAACTCCAACAAACAGGAACTCATCGCCCTCTCGTCAGCAGAAGCAGAATTCATCGCAGCAAGTGCAGCAGTTCGCGAAGGACTCTATCTCACGGAGCTTCTGCAGGAAACGAAAACGGCGATGAACGGATCCTTTAAGTTACTCTGCGACAACCAGAGCGCGATCAAAATCGCAAACAAGCCAGGCTTCGTCAACCGCACGAAACACATCGCCCTGCGTTACTTCTTTGTGAAGGACGAAATCGACAAAGGGAAAGTTCAGCTTATCTACTGTTCAACTGGCGAAATGGCAGCTGACTTCCTCACGAAGAAACTGCCACGTCAGAAGTTTCAGTACTGCTCGGACCTGTGCGGAGTGATTCGCAAAAGCCACCTGGCACACCTCCAGGAATGAAGGGGAGTGATGGAGTGTGAAGGGAATTGTACTTAGCATTCCCGTAGGTGCAGCAGTATCGCACCTGACTTTGTCGAAGCAGCAACAACCGCAGTATCGGATCAAGCCCGTATCAAGGGCAGGAAGGTCAACAATCGCAAGAGTCAACTGTCGCGACTGTTGACCATCTGGACCGACGCTTGACTTGCCATCGAGGAAAAGCAACAGGCGTAACCGTACAGGTTATATGCAGCGACTCGGTAACAAGAAGGAAGTACAACAGTCAGAGTCACTGTAGAAATGCCTGTAAAACAGTTATAATAAGGGAATGTACCCCTCAGAGTACATGGCTAGACTAGGACTATTTATATTCCTTGTATTCTATTGTTTAATCAACTTGGTCATTTATATTCACTATGATCTGAGTTCTTACAAGAATTCCGCTACCAACTCTACTAAAGTACCTCCTATCCTATCCAAGGTCCTCACTCTAACAAATTACATTCTGTACGGCATATCATTTAGGGTTAACACAAGCTCAGGTTTTAAGGCAGTCCATAGAACTCTGTTTTGATATACCATTGTTGTAACAACAGCGGAGTTTCTCTTAGCGCGCTTTCTTGAGTGTAGTGTACTGTACCTTTGTTCGCGCGGAAAGCGCGTTCTTGGTCAACAGTGTGCTGCTGCTGCTGCTTGTCGCTCGGCTGATCTCATCACATCGCTTCGCATCATATGGCGCGGAAAGCAGGCGGTGGCCAATGGCCATGCGCAGTGCGTCGATTGACCTGCGTGGCTGGCAGGCTCAACCTTGTTCTTCGGGCCTTCTGTCCTGCTGTCGGCATATGCTGTCGTTTTGGGGAGCAAACCAACCAACCAAGAGAATGTGCGGCCGAAATGGGTTGCGCAGGAAGACGAGAACGCGGTCGAAGGGCGCACACCGCTCAGTCACACAACTCACGGATGGCACGGACCTGTGCGGAACCGAGCTGACTTAACTCCGATGAAGAATCAAAAACCAGCGTGTGCTGAGTTGGCGGCCCGAATCGACCACCCCAGCTTCGTGCGAGCAAGATGCGGAAACCCAACTTCGTGCGAGGTGTGGTGTGGCGGTGGTGGTCGCACAACGTTTGGCGCACGCAACATTCGGTTGTTTGCAGAGGCAGAAATCTTGTCGCAGGGGAAGCTGCGGGCCAATCAATGTCGAGGACCAATCAAGCTCCGTACACAAGAGCAGGGCTCCACCATAGTGGAAACCTCGAAACAACACGAAACCATCTCCAACCCACCCAAGCTCCCATACAGCAGTCATGTCCACATTGACAGCATGACCTGCCTTCACCAACCCAACCCCCCTTCCCTCCGACCGTTGATTGCCAACGCAACACGGCGCAACTGTGGGGAGTTTCCATACACTCCTCGTGACCCCATCCCAACCAACCATACTTGCTCACACTCGACAACAAAAAATGTGCTGGTTGTGTTCGCCAGGCGTTCACTGTAGCACTACACCTGCTATGGCAACCATGCTCCATACCTCCCCGCCTTGAATTAGTTGAGTTCAAGCCTATTTATGAATCCAAAGGCGGGAACAATTATTCACAACCTCGCATCGTCACATTTCTTGCTTCTTACTCAGCTCCTCACTGATTAGCAAGCAGCTCGTTTCTTGAAAGTGCAGCTCACTTTCTCTCACCTCCTACAACATTCTAGTAGAGTCTAAGACTTCAGAGAGTCGTTAACCTTTGCAGACAACAGCTTATTTTTACAGATAGTCAGATAAGTTTCGCTCGCATGGCGCTGTCTCTGGCGCGCAACCAAGCGCTCTCCACGTGCCTACCCGCTGCGAGCCATCTTTCGCTTCTACTCCTCCGCGCTTTGCATCGTCACACCTCCCCCGCCGGCGGCGCAGGCGCTGCTACTCGCGCTCCAGCACACTCCGCAGTCAGCAGCAGCCTGCCCCAGCCGTCGCGGCAGACCCGTAGCGCACACAGCGGCGCCAGCGGCGGCATTCCCCCGATCCCGTCTTTCTGGAGCCCCTCCGCGGAGTCAACGACCGATTCAGCGGCGCTCTCCGCTCTGGATTCCGCGCTGCTCGGCAATAACGGCGCCGCGTCGCCTCTCGCATGGCCATCCCACTCGACGGCGCATGCGACGCTTTTGGATAACATCTCCCAACAGCTCGACGCCACGCGACACGCTGCGACTAGTGCCGAACCGCTTAATCATCCGAAGCAGACAGCTCATCTGCCAGAGAGTGAAGCATTAGATTCAGTATTGCGTATGTTTTCAACTCCGAAGCCGGCAAGCCCTCTCAGCCAATCGTGGGACGCCGATTCGCCTCCGGCGCGCGACGCATCTCTCAACGCGCTGTCGGAGTACACTCTACCTGGGATGCCCGAGCAGGGCTGGCGAGCCTCGTGGGGCGACGAGAAACGCGCAGGGGACTCGCCTCGAGGACGCCCAGTGCACGATACGCCTCCTCCTGATTTTTTGGCAGCGGACACCAGCGCATTTTATGGGGGAATCCGGAAGGCTCGGGCCATGCCGTTCGTGTCTATAACTGCTGGAGTGGTGTTTGAGCTGGACGATTGAATATGGTTGCTAGACAATTATGGCAGCATATTGGGAGAAGATTGCAGGGGTTTGTACAGGCCTCTACTTTTCTTTCATGCATTCATTTATCTAATGCCATATCGAGTTCCTGATTTATGAATGAAATAAAATTACCTTACTAATGAGAGCAAGCGTCCTGTTACTATGTAGGATACCGTACATGAAGTAGAAAACAGTGGTCGTGGTGTCAAGCTCATTGAAGGCAATGGTCAATGGTTTGTGTATGATATGGTATGCTACACAATGTCTTGCAGCGCAGATCACGCAAAGGAATACCATTCTCAAAAGAGCTAGTGCTGCTGCTAACACTCCTTGTTTACAGATCAGAGAACCTGTGTGTACATCTCTCGCAGATGGTTGTTTTACACCACCGCCATGTCAGCTCCAAGCCAACCATGTGCGCTCGGTCTCATCAGCTAAGAAAGGACCACCATGGTTTCGGCGGCAGGGGCTTGAGATATTAATCAACCTTGTTCCTGATGAGGCAAGCACATGAAACCATCAATAGAGTCGAAAGCCCCACGCCACGTCCTCCAGCCCTTCCTCTGCCCTGCGACCACCCCCAACGAGCATGCTTCTTTGGTCGCTACAACCCACGACCGCCACGTCCTCCAGCCCTTCCTCTGCCCTGCGACCATCCTTCATGAGCATGCTTCTCTGGTCGCTACAGCCCGCTACCACAGGCACTGCTGGCGCTACTGGGGTGACTGTCGCACCTGATCCTGCTGCCACCTGCACGCCACTTGCTGCTTCCCATTCACTGCTTCTTCCTCGCTTGCTGCTGCGGCCGGCACGCCAGTGCTCGCAGCAACAGCACTGCTTCCCCCACTGCCAGCCCCGGTCAATCCACTGTCTTCATCGTCGCCACCTTCACTCGCAGTTGCCACCAAGTCTTCCTTTCCTGCACCTTCCATCTCTCCCGCTCTCCCCTCGCTCTTCGCAACGTCTTCCTCGCCTACCACATCATCTGCCTCTGCCTGCCTCCCCTCCCTTCGTTTCTTCTTCACGCTTGCCACCCGCTTCACCTCCTGTCCCATCAGCCCCATCACTCTCGCTGTCCTAATCCGTCTCTCCACACCTTTGCACAGTCCGCAGAGCCTTTTTCGCCCCCCGCTGCCGTCACCAACCTCTCTTCACAGCAGCAACGTCCTCTTGACGGAGCTGTGCTTCAACCACTTCTGGCGTAGGTTCCTCCCCCGTAGACGCGCCGCTGCTGCCGCTGCTACTGCCCGTGGACGGGAGCTCGTGACACGTGGAGCGGCACAACGGGCAGGAAACCTCGATTGCGCCAGGCAGCTTGGATTTTGGGAGCGAGGTCCGCGGGACGATGAAGCAGAAATGAGCACTTGGTGCAGGCGAGGGCCATGCACTCCGCTTCAGGCAGAAGGCGAGAAGACGCCGCCATACTGCGGCAAGGTTGGATCTAAAAGATGCGCGGATCGGCTGCTATCGTGGGAGGAAAACCTGGGGAGTCACAGGATCGACTCGACGGCAATAGCAGCAGTGGGTGTTATAAGTGAAGTGCCCAGCCAGTGCGAGCTGACGCGCAGAAACGCTGACTCTCTTGCAGCTCGAAGCGCACTGCGTAGACGCCATTGCGCGACATGGCATTGTTACGACCTGACCTGACATGACACGAGCGTCGTCGTCGCATGAGGGCATCTGCCTTCTGATACCGCGCGACGAAACCCAGGCGGCGTAACCGAAACACATTATCGGGAACACGAGCTAAGGTTATTCATGTGATTGTGCATTTGTAGTGAATAGGATGAATGGAGTTGGTCATTGGGCTTCCACGGGGCGTCACGAAACATGGTTACGAGTGGGTTCGTCGTCGCTAAATCTCTGGCGAGCTTTGCCGAATTCCGAATCCAGTGGATTTTCGCCCACGCGAAAGCAAATGAAACTCAACGGACAAATGAGAACCACCGAGCACAAACTCTCACATCAGCTGAATTCTCGAGATCGCACTTTTTTTGATGACCTAGACTGGCACAACCTCATCAAGGCTCCAATGGCACGACCTCATAAGGCCCTAACAGTTTGTCCTACCCGATGACGCGTTGCCTCGGTGACGCCGCCTATGAGCTTCGTGGCGCGGAATCAGGAGGCGAATGCTCGCATGCGACACTCGTGTCGTCATGACACAGTCGAGTCACCACAATGCCATGTCGCGCGCGATAGCTTCTGCGCAGCGCGGTTCGAGCTGCAAGGGAGTCAGCGTTTGCAAGGCATTTCAGCTCGCGCTTGCAGGAATCGTGTGGTAGGCTGCTATTGTCGTCGGAAGTCCCTCCTGTGACTCCCAATTTTGTCTCCCGCGATATTATAGCCTTGGAGCCGATCAGCGCATCTTCGAATTCATCTCGCCGCAGCACGCCATAGTGGCTCATCTCGCTTGCCCCCTGAGGCGGAGTGCACGGTCCTCGCCTGCACCGAATGCTTCCTCTGCGTCATGGTTTGTCCTACGGGTTTGTCGTACCCGATGATGCGTTGGCTCGGTTACGTTGGCCTATGGCTTTCGTGGCGCGCGATCAGAGGGCGATGCTCTCATGCGACGCGGATTCTCGAGTCACGACACGTCAGGTCGCAACAATGGCATGCTACGCGATGGCTTCTGCGCAGTGCGCTTCGTCCTCCAAGGAGCTTAGTGGCTTGCGAGCCATTGCGCGTGAGTTCGCACGGGAAGGACATTTGAGATTTAGTCCCCGTTGCCGCTATTCTCGTCGAAGTCGTTCCTGTGACTCCCAATCCTACTTTTTTTTTCACAGAAGCAACCTTGGAGAGTATTAGCACATCATCGGATCATATCTTAGCCTAAGCACGACATGGCGTCGTTATCTCGCCTGCCGCCTGAGGGGGAGTGTATTGTCCTCGCCTGCACCGAATGCTCCTTCTGCTTCATCATCCCGCGAACTCCGCTGTCGAAATCCATGCTGCCCAGCGCGCACGAGGTATCCTGCCCCTTGTGCCGTTCCGCGTGTCACGAGCTGCCCTCCACGGGCAGTACTAGTGGCAGCAGCAGCGGTGACAGCAGCAGCAGCGTCACGTCTACTGGGAAGGGTGGGCTGGTGACGGTGGAAGGCATGAAAGGCTCCGTCGACTCTGCAACCGAGCAGACAGACGGCTGTGCGGAAAAGGGAAGCGAGAGTGATGGGGCTGATGCAGCTGGAGGTGAAGTGGGCAAAGCGTGTGGAAGAAACGAAGCGAGGGGAGGCAGAGGCAGAGGATATGGTAGGCCCTGGAAAGCAAGACATTGGGAAAGGCAAGGGGAAAATGGGAGAGATGGAAGGCGCAGGAAAGCAAGACGTGGTGGAAGGGGAGAATGATGTCAGCAATGATGAGGATGATGGTTTGGCCGGGGCTGGCTGTGGGGGAAGCAGTGGCGCTGCTGTGAGCACGGGCGTGCCGGCAGCAGCAGCAAGCGAGGGGGAAGCAGAAGAGGGGGAAGCAGGAGAGGGGAAAGGGGTAGAGGGGGGAGCAGCAAGTGTCATGGAGGTGGCAGCAGGATCAGGTGCGCCAGTCCCAGCTGTGGCTCCGGCAGTGCCTGTAGCTGCAGTAGCAGCAATGGTGCCAAGCACAGGACCTGTCGCTTCCCCTGCGGCAGGACCCCTGCTCCAAGCATCAGTGCCAGCAGCAGCAACAGCAGCAGGGGAAGGAGCAGGAGGAGCAGGAGAAGCAACAAGGGCAGGGATCGGTGCAGGTGCAAGGCCGGAGGATGCATTTGCAGCACACTTGTCAGCTCGGTTAAGGCGCATATCAAGCCGACATACGCCGCTCGCTGCACGCCCTCCAGTGGCGCAACACAGGGAGCATGAGGTGAATTCCCGTACTGGCAATGGTGAGGGCTATAGCAGCCAACAGAGCATGATGGGCAGTGGTGGTAGCAGGCCAGATGACGGGCTGCTTGCGGGGCTTTCAGCACTTCGATTGCAGCTATATTCCTGCTCAAGAAGAAGGCTGATAAATATTTTGAACTACCTGCGAGACTGGAATGAGAGCTTGGCTCTGAGCTGACATGTGTATTATGTCTGACAGAGATTCAGTTCAGAGCCTTCGTAAATACTGTGTGAAAGTACTAAATGCAGAGGAGCTATTACTGGTCCTTTCATCTGCCAGTGGGTGATTGGGACATCTTATGTACCGTAAAGGAGTCGGCTGGGCACCTCCCATCGTAGTGTGTTCAAAACTTCTAGGACAAACTACATGTAAAATGCCGCTGGATTCTATTACTTACATAATGCTTGCCATCTTATTTCCTGAAAGTGGCCCCCCTTCCAGCACCCCTACTCGTTCTTAGGCGAGTAGGTTGAAATGAGCACCAGATCCTTGACCTTCGTTGAGTATTCCAGCATCGTCTCTCGCTTCTCCGTCACGAACTCAGAGCTCCTCTCCATAAATTCGAGATAATCAGGCGATCCCGGATAGACGACGTTATCAGCCACGATGACGGTTCCAGGTCCGATGAGCTTCTGGTCTTTAAAGCGACGGGCAACTTTTGGCAGTGTTGGGTTCAGAAGTTTTTTTTTTGAACCAGGCTTGCCAGCGCGAAAGTGCTGGCTGGCGAAAACCAGGATTTCGTGCGGACACTTTCCATCCGCAGTAACAGTTCGCCAGGGTTCTGGGTTTTGGGTGGCAAATGTGCACCGTCGCTTTAAGGAACAGGAGGTCAGGCAGATAGAGGTGCTTCACATGATGGATGAACACCAAATCGAATGGAATCTTGCTCGCAGCTTGCCGAATCTTGTCAGTTGAGGTTTGCAGCGTCCCTGTAACGACGGTAACTTTGTCGCTGAGGCCCGCGTGAGCGACCATGCCGCGGACGACAGACGAGCGGGATTCGCTCAGCTCCACGGAAACCAGCCGAGCTCCCGGCAGGGAGAGTTGCGATGCGATTCGAACCGCCGAGTACCCGCAGAACGCGCCGAGCTCGATGGCGCTGAGAGGATTCGCGCGGCGGACGGCGTCGTCTAGGATAGCGCCCTTCACGTCCCCCACGTTCATGAAGAATTCCGGGCTGGACCACGCGTAGGAATCGATGGCGTTAATTACTGCTTGCGGGTCGTTGGCTGGCGTCGATCGCGTCACGTGCTCCAACAGCCGAGCCTCCTGGCCGACTGACTCCTGCCCTACCACCCTTTCCTCCTCGCGGTTCGCAGCTTCGTCGGGCATGGTTGCCGATTAAATTCGTAGGATGCGAAGGGAAACTACAAAACGATCGCGAATGGTGGATTGGAGGCTGCAGCGGGGTCCCCAGCGCTCGCACGCGGTATCCGACAGGAGATTTAGACGACTCGTGGAAAAAATAAGCTGCACTCGGATTCTAGGAACGTCTGACTATACAGAACCTACCCGTAAAAGTAAAGCGAAGTGGAAAGTGACCCTGAACGACCGTCGCCGAAGGGATCAGTCGCAGCAAGTGTTCTACACCACCTTTCTCACAACGAATTTCACATAATCACTTCCTTGGTTTTGCATGTGTTTGTGTGTATTTTCCAGAGTTATGAGATACAGGGATTACATGTACGACTGCACCCCTAAGAAATATTATTGCAAGCTGCTCGGCAAGAACATAGCTTGGCGAATTCGTTCCCACCAGCAAAAATGTCCCCTTTTTCAGCACCCCTACTCGTCCTTAGGGGAGTAGGTTGAAATGAGCACCAGGTCCTTGTGTTTAGTCGAGTACTCAATCATAGTCTCCCTCTTCTCCGTCACGAATTCAGTGCTCTTCTCCATGTATTCCAGATACTCCGGACACCCGGGAATCCAAATATTATCAGCCACGATGACAGTTCCAGGCCCGATGAGTTTCTGCTCCTTCAGAAACAGGAGATCGGGCATATAGAGCTCCTTCCAATGATCGATGAAGACCAAATCGAAAGGAATCTTGCTCGCAGCTTGCCGAATTTCGTCAGTTGAGGTTTGCAAGGTCCCAGTGACGACGGTAACTTTGTCGCTGAGGCCCGCGTGAGCGGCCATTCCGCGGACGACGTTCGAGCGGAGTTCGCTGGGCTCGACAGAAATCAGCCGAGCTCCCGGCCTGGTAAGGAGACGGGCGATTCGAACCGCCGAGTACCCGCAGTACCCGCCGAGCTCGATAGCGCTGAGCGGATTCGCTTTGCGGACGCCATCGTCAAGGATGACGCCTTTCACGTCGCCGACGTTCATGAAGAACTCGCGGCTGGACCACGCGTACGCATCGATGGCATTTATCACTGCTTGCGGGTCGTTTGCCGGCGTTGATTGCGTCACGTGCTCCAGCAGACGAGCCTCCTGGCCTTCTGTCTCCTGTCCCAGCACCCGCTCATCCTCGCGGTTCACAAATTCCTCAGGCATGGCTGAAAATTACGCTCGCGGGTTGAGGATGTGAAGGAGTATTACAAAACAGAAGGCAATCAGTGGCTCTAGGGCTGAGGAATGGCAATTATTAGAAAGGAGACTCTTTTGGAACGCGAGGAACAACAATTTCTAGGAGACTATTTGTATGGAGGCAAACACATCGAAGTTCCATGAGATCGCAGGGGCGTGACAGCTAACGGAAACGAACCTGCTGGAAGATGGTTCGGAAACAAGCGCGCACCGGGACGGGTTCGGCACGGTTCAGGAATCAGTTGCTGCGAAAGCGAGGAAGCATTTTGTCATTTCGCCCCACTGCGAAAACAGCGCATTAGTTTCGCTGGGAGTCTAGACACTGGTGTGGGTTGCAGCGAGGGCAGTTTCACTTGTGGACTTCAGCGCGCCAAGTCATCCCTCCAACAAAACCTCCACCACGGGCAGCCCAGAGTTGTCGGTTCGATGCAGTGTATGCTCCTCGATTTGCGTTCCCGGAAATCTAGCCGTGGGTTGACCAATCCGAAGGCACCCAGGGTTGCCGGCTCGACTTCACAACATCCCAAATGAAGGGTTGCATTCATTCATCTTGGTGGTAGGTGGTAACCAGCAGCGAAAACCCAAGTCGAGCGAGACAGGCGAAACAAGGGCAGGTTCGGAGCTCACAGCTGCCGAGCCTCCACCTCGGCTCTTCCGGCCTGCACTTGGGGTCATTGTACTTCTTTGCCTCGCCGAGCAACTTCGGGTCTTCGCGTCAGCTGCAATTGACCCGAGGTCTGACACGAGCCCAAAAAACTCCCCAAGTTGTTCCATTCTACATTCTATCGACTACATTGCTCGCACATCCATGGCAGGTCCTCTCATAATTAATTCTTAGAATTGAATCCTGCGAGTAGCTAAGTGAGCATGCTAATTGGCTGACATACTTAAGCTTCCCTTGCTGCTTCTGACTGACGAATCCCGCTGAGCGACCGGGATGGCGTCATTATGTGTGTCCAATTCGTTATCTGCTAATGCAATTTCTCGTACCATCACTGCAGCCTCCCATTCTAGGTCAGCCAATCTGTCATGTCCCTTCTTCGATCGCCGAATCCTGTTGGCTCGCACGGCGGCATGCCACGTTGGCCATGCCACGTGTGCTATTAAGCCGAGACTAGGCGACAGAATAGGAAGCGAATTGGGCCAGCATTTCTCACACCGTGCCCTCGACAGAAGAGCTTCAACCACTGCGCGATCGCAGGGGGGACCTCGCTACTCGCACCCGCGATTCAAATGGCGTTCGCGACGAAAACCAGACGGCGAGGATGCGACGACCGCGCCGGATGAAACGCCAATTGGTCAACGAGCGGCCGCGGAAGGCGGCAAGCCGAGCAGACACAGTCCCGGGTGGGGCTCGCCGGTGTGGCAGGCGGACATCAGCGACGAGGAGGACGATTCGGGCGGAGTAGGGGCAGTGCGGAATGGGAAGGCGGAGAGGAAATCGTCCATCTCACACATCTTAACTCCCGATGGCAAAGCCTTCAGGTGACCGTTGGTCGAAGCGTTGTCACCCTCGCGTGCCGCCTTTTCTCCGTCGGATGTCATTGGCTCAGCAGAGTCCCTTCGCTTGTCTGATCGAGCCCACACTCGCTCGCTCTGGCACTCGTTCCGCTCCCAAGCACGCTCGCTCACACATTCCGCAAGGCACGTCCTTCCTGACGCGTGCCTATCCTCCGCATTCCCCTCCCCCGTACTACTACCCTTCCCCTCCACACACGTACTAGACGAGGCGGCGTACACGCGCATTCCCCTCCCCCACCGCTCTCCCCTCCTCCCCCCCGCTCTCTGTCGCACACATGCAGGCCGCATCGCATCGTTCTGGTGCGGCACGGGCAGAGCGAGGGCAATGTGGACGAGGCGGCATACCAATCCCCCGCATTACCCTTCCCCACCACCCTTCCCCACATGTGCGCACAGGCCGCATCGCATAATTCTGGTGCGGCACGGGCAGAGCGAGGGCAACGTGGACGAGGCGGCGTACACTCGCATTCCCGACTCCAAGATCGCGCTCACCAAAAAGGTACTCATCACACGTGCTTCATACATGATTTGATGGAGGAGAGTTCACAACGAGGGCAGCGAGGGCAACGTGGACGAGGCGGCATACACGCGCATCCCCGACTCCAAGATCGCGCTCACCAAAAAGGTATCCCTCGTCGCGAAAGGCATCCTTCACACCCGCTTCACGCATGGATTGCTGAGGAAGAGTTAACAATGGTGGCATGCGGACGCGGCTAGGCATTATAGCACCCCAGCCTCACCGCTAGCCATTTTTCTCTACCCCAGGCAACTCGAGTTAGCAGAGATAACATTAGGCAGGGGACAGAGCAGGGCATGCAAGGGAAGGGAGGCGATAGAGTGCAGCCTAGCTTTGTCCCTGAGTGCTCACATTTGTGCGAGCCCACCCACCCTCACTGCTTGCCTGCTTGTGTTCATCCGTGGGTGCTTGATTTGCGGTGTGCAGGGGTGGGAGCAGGTGGTGGAGAGGGGAGGACGCTGCTTTTAAAGTCGAGTCAAGACACGCCCTCACTGCTTGCCTGCTTGAATTGAATCACAATGTGCAGGGGTGGGAGCAGGCAGTGGAGAGGGGGAGGAAGCTGCGGGAGCTGATAGAGGCAGACGGGGAGGACGACTTCAAGGTCTACTTCTACGTCTCGCCCTACACACGCACACTACAGGTACCACCTGCCCTCGCCCTACACACGCACACTACAGGTACCACCTGCCCTCGCCCTACACACGCACACTACAGGTACCACCTGCCCTCGCCCTACACACGCACACTACAGGTACCACCTGCCCTCTCCCTACACGCGCACACTGCTGGTACTTCTATGTCTAGCCCTACAAAAAAGGCGGCACATCCGTCTCTGGCCTGCAGCCAGAGTCGATACCTGGATGTTTGAGTCGCTGGAGTTCAAGTCGCCCGAGATCGCGCCCGTGCTCAGAGTCCTGGCCCATGCTCGTCGTGTCTCCCCTCATGTTCGATGGGTTCCGAACGGCACCCGTCAGCCATGTTTCCTTCGAATACTGTATGGATCCATTGTCATTTTGAAGTTGTATGGAGTAAAGATCCAATTTCTTTCCCATACCACAACGAAATAATTAAAGTGGAATAATCAGAATCATCTCACAATGAAAAAACTGAATTGTCGCACATACCCTAGTGGTAATTCGAAATGTCGCATGTACCTTAGAAAACATTAGAATCGCCACGCGTCGTGGGGGTGGCGTGGCGTTCTAACTTCGCGCTGGTAATCGGTATTGGAGACCACTAGTGAAAGAAATGAGAAGGATATTGAATCTGCACTACATACAGCTTCACAGTGACAATGAATCCATAAGGTAATCGGAGGGAACATGGCTGGAGGGTGACGTGCGGCACCCATCGAACATGAGGGGAGACACGACGAGCATGGGCCAGAACTCCGAGCACGGGCGCAATCTCGGGCAACTCGAACTCCAGCGACTCGAACATCCAGGTATCGACTCGGGCTGCAGGCCAGAAAAGGATGCGCCACCTTTTTTGTAACGACTTCACGGTTTAATTCTACGTCTCGCCCTACATGTGCACACAGCAGGTAAGACCCTCACTGGCTCTCGCCCTACATGCGCACACAGCAGGTAAGACCCTCACAGGCTCTCGCCCTACATGCGCACACTGGCTCAGCAGGTAAGACCCTCACTGGCTTTCTTGCGCCATCAAAGTAACTTTGTCTCCTTGTCACTCTATCTCATTGCCATGGTGTCTTTGTTACACTCATGTCAATACAGCTCTGAAAAGAGTCAGAGCCCCCATGCCGGTAATGGCACTCTCGCCGTCATGAATTGTGATTTGTTAGTTGCATGGAGGTTACATTCTTGTCATGCATCCTCATACTCTTGTTTCCCAACCCCATATTCTCTCCCACCCCTGCCGTTACCCGCAGACCCTCAGGGGCGTGGGCTTGGCTTTTGAGAGGGAGAGGATAGCAGGCGTGAGGGAGGAGCCCCGCATCCGCGAGCAAGACTTTGGTACGCTCGCCTCCCCTCACTGCGCACATTGTCTGCCGTCCATTCCCTCTCCCTCGGCTCCTTCTTGCTTCCTCAACCTGTTCCCTCCCTCCCTCCCTCCCTCCCTCCCTCCCCCCCTCCCTCCCTCCCTCCCTCCCTCCCTCCCTCCCTCTCTCCCTCCCTCCCTCCCTCCCTCCCTCCCTCCCTCCCTCCCTCCCTCCCTCCCTCCCTCCCTCCCTCCCTCCCTCCCTCCCTCCCTCCCTCCCTCCCTCCCTCCCTCCCTCCCTCCCTCCCTCCCTCCGTCTCTCCCTCCCTCCTTCTCGCCTTCATCCATTCTCTTCCTTCTCCTGTATTCACTCTTCCTCTTACCATCCCTCACGTCCTCCCCGTCCCTTTCTTCTCGGCATCCTCGCATGCATCACTCATGTTCTCCCATGTTTCCGCTGGCACACACTGGTCTCCAGGCAACTTCCAGGACCGGGAGAAGATGAGGAGGGAGAAGAAGGTGCGGCTGAGCTACGGGCGCTTCTTCTACCGCTTCCCTGGCGGCGAGTCCGCTGCTGACGTCTACGACCGCGTCACAGGTGCGATGGTGGCACACTCACAGGTGCGCTTATAGGAGCAAATTGATGGCACACAGGTGCGTGTGCTTATAGGAGCACAGTGAGGCACACAGGTGCGTGCGTGTCAAAGGTGTGACTGAGCTACGGGCGATTCTTGATTCTTTTACAGCTTCCCCGATGGCGTGCCGACGTCTACGACCGCGTCACAGGCTCACAGGTGCGCTGTGAGGAGCACAGTGAGAGTGAGGAGGAGGAGGTGTGACTGGGGGGAGCACAGTGAGAGAGAGGAGGAGGAGGTGTGACTGGGGGGAGCACAGTGAGAGTGAGGAGGAGGTGTGACTGGGGGGATCACAGTGAGAGTGAGGAGGAGGAGGTGTGACTGGGGGGAGCACAGTGAGAGTGAGGAGGAGGAGGTGTGACTGGGGGGAGCACAGTGAGAGTGAGGAGGAGGAGGTGTGACTGGGGGGAGCACAGTGAGGCACACAGGTGCGAGCGCACCACAGTTGCACTTTTAGTAGCAGTGTGACGGGCAAGTTTTGAGGCGCCTCAAAAGTGTGACGGGCAAGTTTTGAGGCGCCTCAAAAGTGTGACGGGCAAGTTTTGAGGCGCCTCAAAAGTGTGACGGGCAAGTTTTGAGGCGCCTCAAAAGTGTGACGGGCAAGTTTTGAGGCGCCTCAAAAGTGTGACGGGCAAGTTTTGAGGCGCCTCAAAAGTGTGACGGGCAAGTTTTGAGGCGCCTCAAAAGTGTGACGGGCAAGTTGTGAGGCGCCTCAAAAGTGTGACGGGCAAGTTGTGAGGCGCCTCAAAAGTGTGACGGGCAAGTTTTGAGGCGCCTCAAAAGTGTGACGGGCAAGTTTTGAGGCTCCTCAAAAGTGTGACGGGCAAGTTTTGAGGCGCCTCAAAAGTGTGACACAGTTGACGGGCAAGAAGTGCTTGCAATCACTACTGGCAGCGAGCGAGTACGCTGGGAGTGAAGAATATGTTAGAGGTCCAAGTAACAGCCCCCGAGGGAGCAGATGTGGTGAGATCGGCTCTTTTAGCGCTTCACTGGGAGCTGGCTTCTGCTGTTCACAACCATGCATTCGCCTGGAATTGTTGAATGGAACGGGCCGGGATGGCACAATAGGCACGTCCAAGAAAGACTGTGCCTGCAGTCAGGTCAGGTTATTGTGTGGATTTGCGTCCAGAATCAGGTAGCCATGTGTGATGCCTGTACAGCACTCGACAATGAGTGGTATGCTTTAGCGAACGAGCACAGACGAACGCAATTTCAGAAATAGGAGGCGGCACCCCATCTCTCTCTCTTTCCCATCCCGCCATGTCAGGTTTCCGGGAGACACTAAGAGCGGACATTGATGTGGGGCGGTTTCAGAGGGAGGAGGCGGCGGCGCGCAACATGAATCTCGTGCTGGTGTCATACGGACTCACCCTGCGGGTCTTCCTCATCCCGTGGAAATCCCATGCACCACTGCCTGACTCCCCTCCCAGGCTCTATTCTTCACCCTCTTCCCACACCCACATGTCTCCCGTCCCCTCCTTTTTGAACCCCCCAACCATCCCCCCATCTGCACTTCCCTGGCATAACAGGCTTTCGTGAAACACTAAGAGCGGACATAGACGTGGGGCGGTTTCAGAGGGAGGAGGCGGCGGCGCGCAACATGAACCTGGTGCTGGTGTCTCACGGGCTCACCCTGCGAGTCTTCCTCATGCGGTGGTACAAGTGGACGGTGGAGCAGTTTGAAGGGCTCTACAACTTCCCCAACGCCGGCTGCATGATCATGCAGCTTGGGCCTGGCGGCAGGTGTGTTGAGTGATGAGTGGTCTGGAGCTACTTGTCTTGCGGTGGTTTCACTTTGAGTGGTGGCACATTGTGTGCGCGGATGTGAGTGGACGGTGGAGCAGTTCGAAGGGCTCTACAACTTCCCCAATGCCGGCTGCATGATCATGCAGCTGGGGCCTGGCGGCAGGTATGCTATGACCTTGAGCAGTTGGGTGAGTCATGGCTTGTTGTGTGAGCTTTGGGTGCGCTGCCATGGATGGATGGTGGCGCAGTGTAAGGGCTCTGCGTCTTCCTCATACGTTGGTACAAGTGGACCGTGGAGCAGTTCGATTCGAAGGGCTCTACAACTGTCCTAATGCCGGCTGCATGATCATGCAGCTGGGCCCAGGCGGCGGGTATGTTAAGCTTCAGTGGTTGAGCACTTGTATGTTCAATGAGATGCGAGTCAGACAGAGAAGAATGCACAAGAACCGTAGCGAGTGCGACACGCATACACTCAACCCTCATTCACGTCACTTTTTTCCTTTGTAAGCCCACTCCCTTCCTGTCCCTGCCATGCTTTTCTCCTCCCCTTTCCCTCCCTGCATTCACTCTATTTCTTTGTCTCTTTCCTCTATCTACTTGACAATGCCACCTATCCCGGTGTCTCGAATTCGTTTCAGCTTATTCCCTCTCGCCATCTGTGTTTGTTTGTTTTTAGCTTTCACACGCATAGCTTGCATCACAACGGAGCATGCTGCTAGCAGCTCTTCGCCACTCTTTTCCTTCTCTCCTATCCCCTTCTCTTTCCCTGTCCCGCTCCTCTCCCCTGTGCCCAACCCGTCGCTCGTCCTGTTATAGTCACAATAGGCTTGAATGTGCCTAAAACGAAAGATAGAGAGCACAGACGGATTTCTGCACAGCGGCTTCAAACGTTGATAGCGTTCTGCTCACAGCTGCAAATGACTTGATTCAAATTGGATCTGGAGCGTCTTCACGTTGTCTACAATTATCAATTTAGATTGCACGATTTGATAAAGAATTGACGACACAGCGTCGGTTTGAACGAACGGTACTATGGCAGCCACTATAGTCTTAGAACACAAGATAGGAAGAGTTACGAGTTGGGAATGACTCCCAGCTCCTACAAACCCCAAAAGCCGAGGTACAGTGATGTGGAACAGTGCCACACTGTCCCCAACCACGAAGGGTCTCGAAACTACCCTTTACTAGGGCCTACACCAAGTGAAATGTTACACTACACAAAGTAATGTAACTATCTTCAATATCTTGAGGTGTACCCTTTTGGCAAGCTTCGAAATCACTTGAGGCTTGACACCAAGGCTCGGGCTCTTCATCACAAACTCATCCTTGAGTTCTTGATGGGTGTGCTGCACACACCTGCGACACGCCGAACGTTCGACACAAGACAAAATAGAAACCGCGCACGACAAAATAGAAACCGCGCGCGAGACACAAACGACCGCGTAACACGCGTCTAGCGATAACTCGCTATTGACTCGACACACACACTCGACATCATGACTCAACATTCACACACAATTATAAGCATGAAATATATATTATCCCATGCCCTCATACCATTCCATACACACACACATTCACGCACACGGACAACAAGCCGAGTGCAAACCGTAGGGTTGCACCAACACGTCCGTCCCCACCCCCTTTCAGGTACAGCTTGCGCGTGCACCATAGCCGGGAGGAGCTGAGAGCCTTTGGGATGACAGAGAGCATGATCGAGGACCAGGAGTGGTGAGACTCATGCTGCCTTGTCACACCACGTAGCAGTATTGCCTGCATGCACAACAGCTGCGTGCACCATAGCCGGGAGGAGCTGAGGGCGTTTGGGATGACAGAGAGCATGATTGACGACCAGGAGTGGGAAGGCCCATGTTCCCTTCGTCTGCACACCTGAACAATATTCCCTATGGATCCACCCTCAGACCTCTGTAAACAGCAAGGCTGAAAAACGTGTCAGAATGCTCTGATGGATGGTAGGCTGAGTATTCATTGCTCTTGTGCTTGCCTTGGGGTTGGTTGTCTGTTCCAACAGCTGCTTCCACCACCCTGGAGGACCACCGACTAGCTTCCATCGCTGCACAAACACAAGCGTCAGGGCTGGAGTTACATCTGGGGCAGCTCGTAAATGCTTCCTTGCTCCAATTTCTATTGCCTGTTATCCCACCAGGCAAATCACGGCCAAGCCGGGGGATTTGAACCCGTGCTGGCTGACGTCAGGGGTGGGGTTCTTTGACCACTTTGATGAGAGCGAGGAGTGTGGCATTCATCGCTGCTCTTTGATGCCTCTTTGCTGCCCGTTCTGTTGCCTGCTATGCCATACCTACCAACAGGCAAATCACGGCCAAGCCGGGGGATTTGAACCCGGGCTGGCTGACGTCAGGGGTGGGGTTCTTTGACCACATTGATGAGAGCGAGGAGTGTGGCATTCATCGCTGCTCTTTGATGCCTCTATGCTGCCCGTTCTGTTGCCTGCTATGCCATACCTACCAACAGGCAAATCACGGCCAAGCCGGGGGATTTGAACCCGGGCTGGCTGACATCGGGGGCGAGATTCTTTGACCACTTTGATGAGAGCGAGGCGTGCGGCATTCAATGTGACTACATGTGCAAAGGAATTTCAGAATTGTGCGACGAGGAATTCGGTGATGGAGTATATCGCAACCATTGATTGAGTTCTTGCTGTCAGAATACTGAACGAGAATGAATGCGTTGAGCAGAAAGTTGGTACAAGTACTAACCCTAATTGGGTTGTACTCCTTATGGGCTACCCCACTACAACCTACACAATATAAGCATTATAACATTTTGACACACCCCCATAGGCAAAGTTGGGGAGAACAAGAGGTCACAAGATTAGTCAAGAAAAGCAAAACAACCTCAGGTGGATGATGAAGTATCCACACATTTTGAGCACAAGCAAATGGCCACTAAGTCAATTCACATGCAGAGTTATATAAAAGAGGACAAATACTGCAGTGATCATAACATAGCAAATGTAAGCATGCATGTATATATATAGATCACAGTACAAGCAAAGTCATGCAGTGAGTAAGTGAGGCAAAGCAGGCACAAGGCCTCAAATAGTACAGAAACGTTGATGATCACCAGGCTGAAATGCCTTGGTGAATATATCAGCAGTGTTGGCCCGAGTGGCCACGTAATCAAGACGAAGCTGGCCACGCTGCTGCAACTCTCGAGCAAGGAAGTAACGCAGAGCGATGTGCTTCGTTCTGTGCTACAGTCTGTGCTCCTGACATAAGGCAATCATGACCTTGTTGTCTACGTACAGAACTGGAGGAGAACGAGGCCGCTCTCCCAAGTCGGTCAGCAAGAAGGTGAGCCAGCGTAACTCCAGTGCAGCCATGGCCCCTGCGTAGATCTTGTTGGGCTGAAAAGGCCCTTAGGATCTTTGCAGGGCAGAACTCAAGTGTAGGATGATGTAGTAGCGGAAGCGTTTTAATAAAGATTGTTGAACCACCTTGCGCTTGTATGTGAGGGCAAAGTAAGTTGATTAAACAAAGAACATACAAGCTTTTATAAGAGTCCAAAGGAATATGAAAGGTTCTTGTTTTAACTGTATTGCTGTTGCGGTTCGATATAGTGCCGACTCGGGTAACTGCTCTGTAATGAGTCAGTTATGTGTCCTTGCTGTCGCACTGTACATTTCGTCAGGTCAAAGGTCGCTGACCTTTGACTTTCGCGTAACTTCCAACAGTTATTCAACCTCCGAGGGTTGACTCACCGATGTTTCGATACGATCTGCTTCGCTTCTGTCTTGGTGTTTCGACACGACAGAGGCGCTTAAATCAGTTGTTTCCAACACTCCCCTTCGCTTCTGGAGTGTCGCAACAGGTGACGTGGCTCTGTCCAGTCAGCAGCATGCAATATTCGAACTTCGACTTTCCGAGCTTCTTGGTCAAGTAATCTGCTGCCATCTCGGATGTGGGGCAGTAGGACAGCTCAAGTCTTCCCTTTTCGAGCTTGTCCTTTACGAAGAAATATCGCAGGGCGATATGTTTCGTCCTGTTTGCGAATCCATTTTTGTTGGCGATGCGAATTTCTGACTGGTTGTCGCAAAATAGGGAGAAGCTGGGTAACTGGGCCAGTTTCGCTTCCTCCAGAAGTTCGCGAAGATACAATCCTTCCTTGGTGGCTGAGCAGAGTGCGATATATTCAGCTTCAGCTGAGGAGAGGGCGATTAACTCCTGTTTGCTCGACTGCCACGAAATAGGTCCGATAGGCTCGAGACGGTAGATATAGCCTGTGCGCGAGCGCCTGTTGTCAGAATCTCCGGCGTGGTCAGCGTCGACGTAGCCGATTAGCTTAGGCGTTGTAGTTACGTTTTTGTAGTAGATCAGGCCGATCGTCGGAGTGCTTACGAGGTAGTGTAGGGCGCGATCGAGTTCCTTCATGTGTTGATCTTCAGGCCTTTTGAGGTAGGTGGCGAGTTGGCTTGCTGAGTATGATAGGTCTGGACGACAGGTGACGGCCGCGAAGAGAAGGCATCCCAGCTTTCTCTGGTAGTTGCGTATGCCGGCGGGTTTCAGTGGAACGGATTCTGTCTTGTCATTTCCTGCCGTGTAGCGGTATGGCGTGGAGATAGTAGTTGGCGTGAGTGCGAACCGTTTGGCGATGGTGTCGGCATACTTTGCGGCGTTGAGATAGATCGCGTCTTCTCCTTCTTGAATGTTGAGACCGAGGTATTGCGTGACGGTGGATGATACCGTGAGGGTGAGATCTTTTTGCAGCTCCCCTTCGAACCAGGTGGTAACGTTGTCGGTCGATCCGATGTAGAGTAGGTCGTCTACGTAGACGATCAGTAGAATGTAGTCGTTGTCTTTCGTAAATCGATACATGCCTTGGTCGTGCGGCAGCTGCTTGAATCCGATGCGAGTAAGCCGAGTGTGTAAGTACTGCTGCCACAGTCTCGGGGCCTGTTTAATCCCGTACAGAGATTTTTGCAGCTGACAGACTTGATTGGGCTCTCCGTGAGAACCATGTGGGAGTTCGACGTAGATCTCTGCGTCGACGGGTGCGTAGAGAAAGGCATTGGCGACGTCGATTTGCCGTAGTTTCTTCTTTTTCATAGCGGCGACCGCGAGGAGAATCCGTAGTGAAGTATGTCGACTAACCGGTGCGAATGTCTCAGTAAAGTCGCGTCCGTGCTCTTGGTCGAAGCCACGTACGACCCAGCGTGCCTTGAACTTGTCGATGGTGCCGTCTGCTTTCGTCTTCACACGGAAGACCCACTTCCCGGTGAGTATCGTCTTGTTTCGTGCCACGCCGATAGGAACAACCTTCCAGGTGTTGCGCTCCTGTAGTGCTTTCAATTCCTTGTCCATGGCTTCACGCCATTTTTCCTTATGCTCCCCCCCCAGAGCCTGCTGAACTGTGGCAGGCTCCTTAGGAGGATCGGGGCCGTGGACCGCGGTGACGAGACCAAGTATCTGAAGATCACTCTGTGTGTAGCGGGGGAGTGTTGTGTCCTCGGGATAGGCTGCTTCGTCACCAGCTTCTGGGTCACCCGTCGAAGAAGCCAAGAATCTGCGCGCCTTCCATCATTAACTCGAACTCGAATGACCAGGTAAAGAAGTCCTTTCCGTCGAAAGGCCTTGTCGTCTGCAGTTTTAAGACGTGCGCGAACTGCGACTGGACTTGAAGTGCATCCAATGTCTTTTCTTGTCCGGATGCAGGCTGCGGTTGTGGCATAAAGCTGACGGAGCCACGCTGGGGCTCATACGGGGCAAAGGTAGGCCGTTGCTGTTGGTTTCCACGTTCGTAGGATGAACCGTCGAGGCTCATCGGTGTTGCGTTGTTGTTGCTGTTGTTTGACTGTGCAGGTGCCCCTTGCTGGTGCTGTTCGTAGAAGGACATGAAGGAGAAGAACTTCTCCATCATGTCTGGATCGAAGGCCGCAGCTTGATTTGCGGGAGTTTCCGAAGACGATGCCCTTGGTCTTGCTGTCGTACCCTCCTCTGTCTGTAGGCCTGAGGCAGGAGGTGGAGTAGGAGTAGTGCCAGGAGAGCCGTTCGAGGAGCTTCTCTCCTTCTGTGTTGCCATATCTTGCGATGTTGTAGATGTCTTGTTTGTAGTCGAATTTGCCCTGACTGCTCTCATACCATGTTGGGCTGAAAAGGCCCTTAGGATCTTTGCAGGGCAGAACTCAAGTGTAGGATGATGTAGTAGCGGAAGCGTTTTAATAAAGATTGTTGAACCACCTTGCGCTTGTATGTGAGGGCAAAGTAAGTTGATTAAACAAAGAACATACAAGCTTTTATAAGAGTCCAAAGGAATATGAAAGGTTCTTGTTTTAACTGTATTGCTGTTGCGGTTCGATATAGTGCCGACTCGGGTAACTGCTCTGTAATGAGTCAGTTATGTGTCCTTGCTGTCGCACTGTACATTTCGTCAGGTCAAAGGTCGCTGACCTTTGACTTTCGCGTAACTTCCAACAGTTATTCAACCTCCGAGGGTTGACTCACCGATGTTTCGATACGATCTGCTTCGCTTCTGTCTTGGTGTTTCGACACGACAGAGGCGCTTAAATCAGTTGTTTCCAACAGATCTCAGCCTCACAACTGGAACTGAGAACAGAAGACGAGCGGGTAGACCGCCAAGAAACAGAGCCGGAGCCAAGGCTGAAAGTCTAACCCTGTGACGACCGCTGCGTAGCCAAGTCGTCAACCCAAGAAGCGTCTGCGTGTCCAGTGAGGACAACTGGGCCCCGTCTGTCAGAATATCATGTTTCTCTAGTCTGCAGTGGGGTACTCCATAGTGAGTACAACCCTGTTAGGTTTCCTATATATACTCAATTGCTTTCTAGTGCATTCATTCGTTCTCAATATTCTCACATGATATAGAGCAATATCGATCCTTCCTAAGGGCCCACCACGTTTACACTGAATTTTTTCCTACCCTAGGCGCGCGTCGCGCCTGCCCTTAACGGCCCTTCGCGGCCCCTCGTAAGGCCCTTCGCGGCCCCTCGTTAGGCCCCTTCGCGGCCCCTCGTAAGGCCCTTCGCGGCCCCTCGTTAGGCCCCTTCGCGGCCCCTCGTACGGCCCCCTTCGCGGCCCCTCGTTAGGCCCTTCGCGGCCCCTTGTTAGGCCCCTTCGCGGCCCCTCGTACGCCCCCCTTCGCGGCCCCTCGTTAGGCCCCTTCGCGGCCCCCCCTCGTAAGGCCCCTTTCGCGCCCCCCTCGTAAGGCCCCTTCGCGGCCCCTAGTGAGGCCCTTCGCGGCCCCGTCAGGCCCCGTTTGCGGCCCCGTCAGGCCCCGTCAGGCCCCGTTTGCGGCCCCGTCAGGCCCTGTTTGCGGCCTTTTGGCCCCGTCAGGCCCCGTAAGGCCCCGTCAGGCCCCGTTCGCGGCCCGTTAGGCCCCTTCGCGGCCCGCCCCGGCCCTTCCTCGGCCCCGTCCCGGCCCTGTCCCGGACCTGCCCCGACCCTGGCCCTGCCCCGACCCTGTCGCGGCCCGTTAGGTCCGTCGCGGCCCCCCTTCGCAGCCCGTTAGGCCCCTTCGCGGCCCGTTAGGCCCCTTCGCGGCCCGCCCAGGCCCTTCCCCGGCCCCTTTCTCGGCCCGTTAGGCCCCGTCGCGGCTTGTCGCGGCCCCTTCGCGGCCCGTTAGGCCCCTTCGCGGCCCGCCCCGGCCCTTCCTCGGCCCCGTCCCGGCCCTGTC